CAGACAAGCACACATGAGGCACACTATCAAACTACATGGAAACTAGGGCTGCAATATTCATTGCAATCAAATCCAAACCACAACAAAATCTAATCTGTAATTTAGGTCTATACAATCAGGAGGTTCCAGGAGAACTGAAAACTAACTGACTAAGACAAACATGCTTGTACAAATTTAAACTACAGGCTTAGGAGATTTTGTGGTTTGTGGAGGAAATTCTGGTAATTCAAAAATTACAGCCTTTGCAATTTGCAAATTTGTTTGCATACCCGAATGACCCAAGGAGCTATGTTTCTCAGCGTATTATGCCCCTGGTAGGTTCTCCCATGATAAACAGGTCCTAGCTTACAGATCAGACTAAGAGCAGTTCATGAACCCACAGCTCAGCCACCATGTGTTGAAGTTCACCCAGTGAACGAGAGGGTTGCATCCCTGCGTCTTCGGTTCGGGGACAGGTCTCTCACTGTTGTGTCAGCCCACGGGCCTGGGGTGGATGAGATCTGTAGATCTGAGTATCTTAAGACTCTGGATGTTGTGAATCTTGGCTGACATGTCTGCAACATTGCGTGGCGGTCGGGGACAGTACCTCTGGATTGGCGGCCCGCGGTGGTGGTCCCTCTGTTTAAGAATGAGGACCAGAAGGTGTGTTCCAACTACAAGGGGATCACACTCAGCCTCCCCAGTAAGGTCTATTCCAGGATCTCCTCTCTGCTGTTTGCAGATGATATTGTCCTGATGGCTCCACTGAACCAGGACCTACAACCTGCACAGGTGCGGTTTGCAGGTGAGTGTGAAGCAGCTGGGATGAGAATCAGCTCCTCCAAATCCAAGGTCATGGTTCTCGACCAGAAAAAGGTGTCTTGCCCTCTTCGGGTGGGTGAAGAGTCCTGCCTCAAGTGGAGGAGTTCAAGTATCTTAGGATCTAGTTCACGAGAGAGGGGAGGATGGAGCGTGAGATTGACAGGCAGATCGGTGCAGCGTCTGCAGTGATGCGGTTGGTGCATCGAATCCTTGTGGTAAAGAGGGAGCTGAGCCGAAAGGTAGAGCTCTTGATTTACTGCTCAATCTACAAGCGGTTGAAATGCGTTTCCTTCACAGGGTGGCCAAGCGCTGCCTTAGAGATAGGGTGAGGAGCTCAGTCACATGGGAGGAGCTCAGAATAGAGCCACTATTCCATCACGTTGAGAGGAGCCAGCTGAGGTGGCTCAAGCATCTGTTACAGATGCCTCCTGGACGCCTCCCTAGAGAGGTGTCCCACCGGGAGGAGGCCCCGAGGAGGTCCCAGGACACACTGGAGGGACTATGTCTCTCAGCTGGTCTGGGAAAGCCTTGGAGTACCCCAGGAAAAGCTGGAGAAAGTGTGTGTGGAAAGGGAAGTCTGGGCCTCCCTGCTCAGACTGCTGCCTTTGTGCCCCGGCCCGGATAAAGCGGAAGAAAATGGATGGATGGACTTGGGAAAAATAATCCAAATCTCCTCTAGTTATCTGCCCAAAAATATCGGCCATTGGTCTCTGGATTCTAAATAATTGGTTATTGGCATTGGCCATAAAAAAACAAACATACAAAACAACATATGGGTCGGTCTCAAGTGACTGTAGAAATGTCTCTAGTCCTTGATTACCTCAGAGTGATGGCTCGGGCCACAGGGTCGTTGCTGTGGATGACAGAAAACACACGCTTCACAAACTCGTCCACGTTCAGGATCTTCTCCAAATGCTTCTCACTTTGTTGGGTCACTTTCAGCACACAGAGACGGAGGAAGTTATTTCTGTTAATAAAAGAATTATAGCCATTTAGCTCCATTGTAATACTTATACATAATAATACTACAAATAAAGAAATAATAATGAAATGAAAAAACAAATCTGAAAAAAATAAACAAGAACTTACTTAAAAAGTCTAAACTAGGACTAAATTAGTACTTATCCAGAATAAAACCAGGATATTAGATGGTTTGGAGGGCCTGATGTGGGTGCAAGTTGAACCGACCTGATCTAGCAGTTATTAATATTAATAAACTCACGTAAAGGCCTGTTATATGACTATTATTTAGAAATGGGCCCGTGCAATTAATCAAATTTGATTCAACATCAAGGTTCAGTAGCCTCTTATCATCAATGATCAGCTTGGGTCTACAGTCAGTAACAGCATGTGGTTTGGAGCAGACACAAGACTTTGGAGGAAGAATGACAATGATTCAAAGTCTGCATTGTTTCTTCTCAGAAACTAATACTGAAATCCATTTTTAATAAGATAAAATACAATTTTAAATCCAAATTGTTCATTTATGATGGAAAAAAAAGCCCTACTTAAGGAAAAAAAACACACCTTAATCTTACATTTCATATTTCATTATAATGTTATTCACAAACATTTAAATAACAAAGCTGTAAATAGCATCACTCCACTACAGCTGTGACAGAATGGCGGTGAGTATGTGTAGGACATAGACTGTATATAGACAGTGTATGGTGTAGGCCTACCCAAGCCTGAAGATGTCTGCCAGCTTAAGGAAAGCTGAGTTGATGAGTATGGGAAAAGGATACTTCTGAAAGAGCTTTGGGAACAGCACCACTGCTTCACACTGCTCACCCAGTTTACCGGAGCGCAGGCCTACAACACAAACAGGAAACAAGTGACTGTTTCAACTTAAAGTGCATATGACAGGTTTTCATATTTTGACTAATTATGTCTTGGTTTGGTGGGATAGTACCTGTGGTAAATATTTATCATTAGTTTAACATCAGTTAAGTATATATTTTTAGCTCTTTGCATTATGCAGGGGTGAAAAGTGACTAATTACAAGTAATTATATTTTTATTTTTTATTTTATTTTAATTTTCTTTGTACTTTTTGAGTAAATGTTTTAAACCTGTACTTGAGTAATTTAAATTCCAGCAATGTAACTGTAATTAGTTACATGTTAAGTAATAGTATAGTAGTATAGTAGTATATAGGGAAGGGGGACAGATAACATAAGATTTTTTTCTTCTTTCTGCTCCTTTTCATTCATTTCTTGTGTGTCTGATGTTGTGACACTGTCGATATCTTTTTATGCTTTATGAAATAAATAAATAAATAAATAAATAAAAATATCAGTAACTATTATCTGTCTCACTTCCAAACACACACAGTGGCAATACATCACCTGCTTTGTTTGGCCAGTGTGAAACAGTTACATTATTCATTACATTAAGCTTTGTGCACCGTACTTATCTAAACTAGTAACTAGAACTTTAAGTAGTATTTTTAATTCATACTTTTTAATTTACTTTTTGGCAGTAATTTTGTACTTGAAATTTAGTTCATGTTGTTGATTTTTGATTCACGTTGAATTTTTTTTTTTTGTACTTTATATCACTCTTATTCATTCTTGTAAGTTGCAGTTATAACCATAAAACCCTTTTTGGTTACAATTTCCCCATGGCATGGTGGAAAAAATACACTATAAACTTATTTATCTGATTTAATGGTTTTGAAATTCCTTAGTGTAATTCAGAATTGTGTTCAGTTGGATGAAAGAAGAGAAAATCCATATGAATGGAGTCCATGGAAAGTCTCATTCGAGTTAGCCACTATGCTACACCCACCTTTATCCAGCTCCATGAGAGCGGAGTTTGCGTCCAGTTCCTGCTCGCCATAGCACGCCTCGGACAGGAAGGAGCGGGCGGTGGACAGAGCCATGGCGGAGAGAGTCTAAGGCAACACTTGGACAGTTTTGATCAGTTTCTGTTCGTCTCCATCACACAGAAAACACAGCAGGAGGAGAGAAAGAACCGTCCGCTCTACGAACCGGAAGTAAACAGTAGATACTTCCTGTTTGGTCAAAAAGTAAAAAATATATTATTATAAATATATCTCAAAAAGTAAAAAAAAATAAAAATAAAATAATAATGATAATAATAATATAATAATAATAATAATAATAATAATAATAATAATAATAATATAATATTATATAATATTTATATATATATTTTTTTTTTTCTGTTAAAAATATAATGCCGTTGATGGTTGATTTCAGAGATTATTCATTAGGGAGACGCTGTTGATGAGCGAGTTTCAGAATCGCTATCAAATCTATGCAAAGAAGCTAAAAAGGTAAAATAGAAAAGGTTATTTAAATTTTACACTTACAATAAAATAGTTTTTTTGTTATATATATATATATATATATATATATATATATATATATATATATATATATATATATATATATATATATATATATATATATATATATATATATATATATATATATTTGTACAGTACAGAAAACAACTTGATTGAGCTTGATATGTGGCTTTAAAACTGCAAAACAAAATTGGATTTCATTGCTTTTAAGGTACACTCATGGATCTATTAAAATAACGGATACACTATGTAACTTTCTATTGAAGGGTCTGGCACCTGTTTGTCTGCATGTTTCACAGCATAGTATTACACTTTATCTCCATGGAAACAAGCAGGTGAGGCCACTGTCCACGGTACAGGTCAGATCTGCAAAGAGGCAGTTGGAGCTTCTTTCTATTCCACTTTTACTGTAATCTTGGATTTGGGCATTTGCATGTGTGGATTAAAGTCACAGTACGAAACGTTTTACTATAATAACATTTTTGTTAATTTGTTTTAAATTCAGTTTTATTGCACTGAAAAACACATGGCCTTGTACCTATATATCTTTATACAGTCTGCGGTACTTAGTGGCTTTGCAATTCCACAAACCTAACTCTTACTTGAGGGCCTCATCCGGCTTGTTTCCATGGTTCAATTGTTGTTGCTTTTGATTATAATATTCCACTTAATTATTTCCATGGAATCATGCAGTTGACGTGCCTTTAAATGTCACATACCTTTAAATATTTACTAAACCCAGTGGACAAAGACACAAAACCCTAATGATCACCCTTTGAAATGATTTAATTCAGTCGTTCCACATGGGCGGAGGAAGCGGGCTGGGCGGAGACCGGACGTGAGCGCTGTCCAATGGGATCGTACGGCGGGCTGAGCGGGGCTTTCGGTCTGGTGCACGGCTCATCTGTTCGCGGGAAATACACACGATCTGCCCCAAGAACTGGGCTCAATCTGCCGCTTTCTACAGCATTTACGGACCAAAAGACCACAATAACCCGACTCTGAGGCGAAGACATGATTTTTCGTTCCACGGTCGACGCGCAGTTGGGCAGACGGAGACAGAACGGTGAGATGTCAGAATGGTACAGTGTAAAGTACATGCAGTCCTCTCTTTGTGCTCCCTCACCGGTCCTTTACCACTAATATTTGAGAAATCCTGTATTCAGCATGCACATAGTGTCTTTGTTGTATTCATCATAGTTGTCATACTCTGGTCTAAATGTTTCTCAAAGTAATCAAATGATCAAAAGTACTGCCCCAGCAGTGACTACAAGGGAAACTGTTCTAACGTATTCCAAAGTTGTTTATCCGCTCGAACACATCGACATTGCATGTTCATGAACTGTATGGACAGTGGATCTGAGTACAGATAGACTCACTGAAGTCTCATTTTCAAATCGTCACTATTCCTGTTGTTTGGGACGTTCTAAAATGGCCTCTGTGCGCTATGTGTCCAGTCCCAGTGTCTGCTGTCATCACTGTTCATGCGCCCTTAGTACTGTGTTGATTAAAATATCTAATAGTTATATTTGACCTACCAAGTACCATCAGATCTAAACCAGGGCTATGAATTGATAACCAATATTATGATATTTGGGCCCATATTAAATTTATATTACAATTTTAAATCTATGTTGTTTCCACATCAAAAACAGACCTGGAGTTGTGTTTTGTTTCATTCACACATGTTTAACACACACATCCTAAATATTTAAGCTGAATTCTTCTCTCAAACAGGAAATACTGTTTCACTTTGTATTTATATACAGTCGGTGGTAATACAAGAAGTGATCTGCTGTGGTTTTAAACTCCACACTTTCACTAGAATAATTTTGATAATTTCAACCCTGGAATTGCCAATCTCTGTTGAACAAAAGGTAAAAGGAGCTGCTCACCGGAGTGAAGGCTGCAAACCCCCCAAAAAGCTGTGTAGTCACATTAAAGTGTTCAGTCAAAGCTAAGATGACCGGCCCAACTCACAGACATGTCTAAGTTTTATTGTCACTAGCTGATACTGGTGCAAAATATCAACTGCACTTGCCCAGACAACACACTGTACTTACTACGTGTTTTTCTAACCCTCTTGTATGTTGTCAACCCTTCAGCTCTGCCTGCTCAGCCCTCTCCCCCTCTGGGCTTCCTGCTGTCGGGGTACAGCTGTGTGCGACACGATGAGCACGTCTCCTACGGTAACCTGGGTGACACTGTACCTCCGTTTGGACTAGCCTTCTCCTCTGGTAAGGAAGAAGACAAGCTCACTATCTGATGGCACCAGAGCAGAATATCTTGAGTGGAATATCTTCCTGAGTTCAATGACTAGAATTCAAAATGTGTTATATTATATTATATATTATATAATTATTATACATCTAGGCTTTAGTAGTTGATTAGTAGTAGTTTCAGAGAAAAACAGTGATATATTATTGGATAGATTTATTTAGGTGACACACATGGTCGTATCAAAAAAAATCTGGTTACAGGAGCTTGAAAATCATTGCACATTTATGCAGAAAGAATGAACAGAGCATTAAAGTCTGTTCATCTGATTTGGCAGAAGTTTGATTTAGTTCAAACTGATAGATGATCATCTCACTGAAATAAACAAACCTGACTGCACAACTGTGTTTGATCCCCGCTTAGGGCGTGTTGACCAGTCTCATGTATAAAAAAAAAAAAAAAAAAGCATAATTCTGTCCTTGCCAGGCAAGTGGCAGGCTCCATACTTGTAATGTTACACTGTTCATCTTTAAACAAGTCAATAAATAAATATAGACCATCATCAAGTTATAATTGTAATTAGGGCTAGGAGTAGGTCCTTCTTGCTTCCAGGGAGAGACAAAAGTGTAATGCCATACTATGGATATTCCAAGCAAAGGAACTGTTGAGACAGTAAACTGAAGCAATAAGTGATATTTTATTCCAATGGTTCATAAACTATTTGTTTGAATTGTATTTCCAGCGGCTAACCTACAGAATGTGCTGGCTGTGGCCAATGAAGAGGGCATTGTCCGAGTTTACAACACAGAGAACAGGGACAACGTGCTGCTCAAAGGTGTGTCGTCCGAGTCTGAGAACACACTTAAACTGGTTTAAGGGGCCCATGGCAGTGGCAGAGAATGTGGGACAATAGATGAAATTAGCTCTTAACTGCAATTCCAAATGTTTTTAGCATGTTCTATGTATGGTCATTTCCATGCACTGTCCATAACAATTAAACTATTAATAATTATGTTGCAGAGTGGTTAGCACATGAGAATGCCGTCTTTGACATTGCCTGGGTCCCAGGAGAGCCTCAGCTGGTATGTACACTGCAGGATGCTTTTACATTTTGCTGACACTTCTGTATAATTGTGTTATTGCTCCTTGTGTTTAAAGGAGAGGAGATTACACTTCTGTGAGATATTAATTGTTCACACACAACATACTGAGATCACCATATGTTAACTTTAATATGGTTTTGAAAATGCTATATTTGCTGAAAACGTATTGATGTTTCAGTTTAGTTTTTTGACACTGAGAGTCCACTCTTTGCTCCCCAAGCTATGTCACTCCCCCTTCAGAGCACGATCACATTACAATTGGCATGCATCTCGCTAATGAAACTACTGCACATTGCATCAGGTTTGTGAAGTTGTTGTGCATTGTTTTGTATTCGTATCTTGTATATTATTGGAAAATGACATAGGCTTGTGGGCTGAGCATTGGATGGAATTGTGCTGCTAACCACAAGCAGCGTTCGAAGGAGGCCCAGGAGAGGCCTGGATGAGGGAACAACATGGTGGAAAAGTCAAATTTGCATGACTTTATAAAGTGTACAGGACATAAAATATATTTTGGTTCATAATTCCATTCAGCATTAGTTCTTGACCTCCATTGTCTGTGGCGTTGTGTTGGTGATGTGTTGATGATGTGCTGCTGTGCGGTGGCTCCAGGTTACCGCTGCAGGGGACCAGATGGCCCGGCTGTGGGACGTCCGTTCGGGGGAGTTACTGGGCAGCTTCAGGGGTCACCTCTGCAGCCTTAAGTCTGTGGGCTTTACCCCTCACGACAAAGGTACTGCCTAAACTTGATCTTATAACATTCTATAAAACTCAGTGGCTATGTGTGTACATGCACACTAAAATGCCATTACTGGATTTCTTTTTTGTTTTTATGTTCTATTATCTTGATGTATTTAAAGATAAAGTAATATATCAAGTTTATGGAACAAACAAAAAGCAAACAGATATTTCTCTGGTTCTACAATAGAATGTTTGAATTTATTTATTTGAATATATTATGATGATATCCCTTGCTCTTACGTAATGCTACATATAAACTTCCTTGTTTCCCATCACAGCTGTTTTCTGCACCGGAGCCAGAGACGGAAACATAATGGTGTGGGACACACGCTGCAGCAAGAAAGGTATTGTGCAGTAAACATGTACTGCTCCTCCTAAACTTGCATGCATTAAAGATATACCATGATTTTTGTAGTATTACAAAATTAATGATATTCATAGATCATATTTTTACACTGTTCATTAGTATTTGGATGGGAAAACCAAAATGTTTGGATATTTAAATAAGATACTACTCACCTAGCCTAGTATGACTGTGTGTAAAAAGGATGTCTTGAAAAGTGATATAGTAATGCTTTGCATTATTATTTATAATCATTACTATTCAAACTTGCACAAAACAAAAAACGTACAATAATCTGCTATACCGGTGCACTGGTACCAAAGTTAAAAGCTTTTAAAGGTCCTATATTACTCAAAATTGACTTTAAGCCATGTTAGAATGTTGTTAGCTCCTCAAAAACAGACCTGGAGTTGTTTTGTTTCAATCGCATTTTTGAGTAACCATTTATTATTGTCTGTCTATATCTCCAAAGCTCTAAATGCTCTGTTCCACCCTGTGATATCTTTTAATTCAGTAGAGATTGGCAATTCCAGGACTGAAATAATCCAAATTATTCTAGTGAAGGTTTATGGAATTTAAAAACACTGGAGCACTTCCTGTATTACTACATGACATCACAAGGTGGAGTGTTTTCAGTTTGAGAGAAGAACTCAGCCTAAGTATGCAGGGTTTGTGTGTTAAATATGTGAAGAAAACAAAACACAATCCAGGTATGTTTCTGATGAGGAAACCATTATCAACAACAATCACAGATCAGAAAGGTCTTCAACCTCTAGACCTGTGTGCAGGAATAACTCGGGTGCTTTGTATTCTGATACGCTCCTGAAAGGAAAAAATCATTATCATACTTTTATTACTTTTTTATCATACTATTTTCAGATGGCTACTACAAACAGGTGAAGCAGATCAGTGGTGCTCATAACAAGGCCGAACCAAACTCTGTGCAGAAAACCAAGAAGAAGAGAGGCAGTGCTCGAGGCATGGCTCCCAGTGTGGTACGAGCTCACTCATTACATGCAAATTGTGTTTTATGCTTACACTTGATAAATGTTCTGTGTTGTTGTGTAGGACAGCCAGCAGAGTGTGACTGTGGTGCTGTTTCAGGATCAGCACACGCTCATCTCCTCTGGTGCCGTGGACGGGTAAGAAACTCCAGATTACAGCTGGAAGACATATTTGAATTTTGTATTTGGGTATGAGTGGATGCAATTAACAAATCACAAATGCTCCTATTTTGAAGTACCATAATTTCATCCACAAACAACAAAATCGTTTTCTTATTATTCTGCATAAAAACTGCTAACCCTGTAGTTTCGATTTGTACAAACATGTTCTGAAATGTGATTCTTGTATTAGTTGGCAGTTCATTGTCCTATTTTTTTCTACTTGCACTTTGAACAGAATCCTATTATTAAAACATGAACTGTAATCTAATCAATGCTTGTCTGAAAAATTACTAGTTAGGTATTTTTCTCAAATTGAAAAACATGCTCTTTAAGATTATTTATTCACCATTCAGAGGGGCCTGGTCCTTTACTGTGACATACTGTAAAGAGACAATCCCAAATCGGCTCTATTGCAATTTAAAATGTCCAAAATATAACACAATAATCCACACATGCTATAGATATCATCAAATAGCACAATGTCTTATTTAGGTCCTGTATTATGCAAAACTGGAGCTTTAAGCCATGATAAACTGTTGTTACTCCAGGTTTCTCTGTTTTTGTGGAGGTATTTTTGTTTCATTCACACATGTTTCAATAGTCCTGCATTATTAGTCAGTCTAAATCTCCAAAGCTCAAAATGCTCTGTTCCTCCAAGACATCACAAGGTGCAAGTGAGTGTTTTCTGTTTGAGACAAAAACTCTAAATATGCAGGATTTGAGTGTTAAACATGTATGAATGAAACAAACACAAGTACAGCTATGTGTGTAAAACCCCTCAGTTGTCCAGGTAGAATCCATGGTAAAGGAGAAATTTAATTTGTAAATTGAACAAACGTTTATTTAGGTCACTGGTGGACACTGCCTTATATCGGCCTGCAGATCTGCAATCTGTCATACGTCTCCACCTAAAAGCCTCGGGCCACTCCTTTGAGGACAGTGAGGTACAGATCTTAGCCAGAGAAAAGAATTGTTTTGAGAGGGGAGTTAAAGAGGCTCTACCCTCAGACAATAGGGATAGCCAGGTCAGATCCAGAGATGTGAAAGCACCCGTTATAACCCTGAATGATTCTGCTAATATGACTCTCACACTCACACACTGCAGTTCAATTGGCCTAACTAATAACAGAACCTGTAAACAAGTAGGGTGTAAGATTCAGAGTAATTCCAGTGTTGTTGGCTTCTCCCTTCAGGCAGATATAAGGAAGTGTCCACCAGCATCTGACCAGAACTGAAGAAGCAGCAACTTGTTCAACCAAAATAAACTTTTGTCCAGTTGACAAATTGAATTTCTCCTTTGCCACCTCCAGGTTTGCAGTGAGGAAACATTATCAGAAAATCCACAGATCAGAAAAGAAAGTAAAATGGACCCTTTAATTCTCCTGATTGTCTTATGAAAAATGTCTCCACAGTGTCGTAAAGATGTGGGACTTGAGGAAGAACTACTCTGCCCATCGCCAAGACCCTGTGCCACTGCAGACCTTCCCCTACCCCGGGTCCAGCTTGCGCATGAGACTAGGTCTGTACACACTAGTGTTGTCATCATACTAACATTTCAGATTTCAGTAGGAAGGAATAGACTCAATAACCCATTTCTGTCCTGTGAGTGGGATGTTTTTAGTATCGATACCAGCTTAAATGAGTATCTGTAGTAGTATCTGATTTTCCATACGTAGTATTGAAGCAGATTGATGAATGTCCTGTCCTCTGGCTTTACTCATGTGTCTATGTGGTTGTAGGTTATTCTGGGCTGGTGTTGGACTCCACCAGATCCAGTGTGATGTGTAACTGCACTGATGACAATATTTACATGTTTAATGTCACCGGGGTCAAAACCTCTCCAGGTAAGAGCTCAGCATGGAATTGAACACTGCTTTGCTTACTTACTATTAGCCACTAGAGGGCACTGTAAAGTTAAATATACTTTAGTTCATATAATTGTTCATTTGGTTGGTTCATTTATTTTGTCAGTTTGAGAGAGAGACTTTATTGATGATATTGTTTCTGTTGGTAATTAAATTGTTCATTCCCTCAAAGTCTTTCCTCTGGAAAGTCTTGTGCCACATTTGCTGTCACATTTGGTGAAAAAAGCTTATTGTGTCTCAAATGTCCATAGTTCACTCCTTAGCTAGCCTCTTGCACCATGGATACAGGAAAAACAAACATTTCACACAATCCAACAGTTCCTTACTCGTGTCCTTTGGTCTGGAAGGTAAAAGAAGCTGTTAACTTAAAAACTAACCCTTAAAAACCACTTCCTGACCTCACAAGGTGGAACAGAGCAGTTTGAGCTTTGGACATGCAGACAGAGATGTTCTCTAGTTTCAAAACACATTTGAATCTTTTCTTTTTTTTTTTTTTACTTTAGGCCATTTGTGTTCAGTGGAAATACATGCTGTATTCTGTTACTGCACTGGTATCAGTTGATATCAGATATTGGCAGACATTTAAGGCAAAGTATCAGCGTCAGTATTGGAACAGAAAACACTGGATCAGTGCATCCCTAATAATTGCACTGCCTCAAATTGTAATTTCAAATTTTTGGGTAGCCCTAGTCAAAATATTACATTTTTGGTTCAAATTTGACAACTAATACTACTCTAATAATTATTTGGCTTACTTTTTTCCTTTTTTAGTATTAAATAGCATTTGGATGTACATATGCTACTGATAGCTGGTTTTGTTTCTTTTATAATGCTAACGGTTCTCAATGTAAATGATATAATGTAATTGTTCCTCACAGTGGCTGTATTCAGTGGTCACCAGAACTCTTCCTTCTACATCAAGTCCACAGTGAGCCCTGATGACCAGTTCTTGGCTAGTGGCTCCAGTGACAACCATGCCTACATCTGGAAGGTATGCACGTAAACCGTACCATGACGGGGAGCTCTTAGCCTTGGTTACTCCATGAAGATATGTATGTGTGGAAATATGTCTGTATTTCTTCAGATATCCTCTCCCTCCCATCCTCCCATGATGCTCCAGGGCCACAGTGAGGAGGTCACGTCTGTGTCATGGTGCCCTACAGACTTCACCAAGGTAAAAGCAGTGCAACAAAGCAGTCTTTACTGGACCTAATAATAAGAAAGAATAAACAAAGGTTCTCTCTTTCTGCACTCTCCCTCTTTCCCTTCACCTTCTCTTTCTGCAGATTGCATCTTGCTCGGACGACCACACTGTGCGTATCTGGCGTCTGCACAGACAAGGTGAAGAGGCGGAGTCACGTTTGGGAGAGACTAACCTCGTGGGCCGGGCTCACCCCAAATCTCCAACAAGTCAGTCCTCAAACATTAAACTAAACCTTTTAATGTGATATTGACAAATATAAACTAGGGATGGGCATGATTAATCGATAATTGATCATTAAGAATTTCATCGATTACGTTAATTTTAATCGACAAACTGAATGCAGTTTGCTGTGCGTAGCGTGACCAAACAGGGGTCCGTACATGTGTCTCTCTGCACTCAGAAGGAGCGAGCAAACACAAACAGTCGGTCAGTCTGCAGCGTACCGAAGCACAAATGCGTATTTAACGATGATTTGTACAAGAAATTCCACGCTTTCCGTTACGTTCGGGACAAGTGTGAGTCCATGTGCACAGTGTATAAAGCAGCACATATGTTTCGGTGTCCAGTGGGAAAAAGTTTTGCCAGGTGAGAGTCGCGCAAGGTTGATGACGAGTCCCCACCCCCCTCCTCCCGTACGGTGTCCTGATTTTGACAAACGCAAATATGGTCACACTAACCTGTATTCCACTGAATCATGTCTTCTAATCTGACAGAAGTTGACCGCATCAGCGACACAAGAGCTGTAGTTTTATCTTCGCTGAGTTTATGCAAATTAGCGATGCGGTTTTAAGTTTCGTTTCTGTGAGAGTTGCGCAAAACTGCATTAAACACATTATAATTTCAAACGGGCTGATGTGGCTCTAGTGTCGTTACGGTTTATATGTCGTAAAGTTGAATTTATTTATACACATTAGTAGGCAGATAGTAATAATAATGATGATCATTTTAATATAAAAACGTTAATGATTAATCGATAATCGATCGTTAATTCTTCCGACGATCGATTAAGAAAATTTCATCGAATGCCCATCCCTAATATAAACATAGATTATTTATTATTATGGTGACAGTCAGATAAGATTTCTGAAATCCATCAGAAATGTCAAGTATCATAGTGTTTTCCAACTAAGTGTATGGGGTACTTGAATTATTTTAGAACAAAAAGAAAGGTGTTATTGAATGGTATTTGAATGTAAAATGTAGTAGTACATTTAGGGTAATTTTGTAAATGTTATTAAAACAAGAAAATCACATAGTTATATTTGGGAAAGTACAGATTTATCTCGTTAATAAGGAGTTCTCTGACTGTGAGACAACGCTTAGGGGATACTCAAGACAAAAAGTTGGGAACCACTAAAGTATCACACAAAGTGAATGGTCAATAAAATGAAGCACTAAAATATAGAAGAATCACTTCACACCATGTCCACCACCTGCTTGTCTCCATGGAGATGTGCTTTGCTTGTTTGGTGCTATGGGAATAAAAGTTATATTGTGGAACATTCCAGGAAAAGTCATGATTTGGTGACAAGCATTTTAAGGCAAATATACCTACAGAGACTACACTGCTGTTTTAGTAGTTATATAATTCAATTCTGTTTACAAAATAGTGTAATTTTTATTTTATTGTAGCAGTTCTCAACCTGTTGGTCTGGACCCTTGTGGTTGTGGAGTGACAAATTACTGAAAATTAAAAATTTCTCTTCATTATGATTTAAAAAAACAACAACACACAACTTTAAACATTTGACTGTTTTAATTCCTTTACTATTACTGTTTTTTTTGTTTGGTTGTTTTGACCAAAGTCAGAACTTTTATTTAAACAATCCAGAAGATGTCCAGTTTTGTCCTATTATGTGACAGTACTGTTATATTGACAGTCTCAATATAAGTTTTGGTATTTATTAGTGTCTGTTGGCATTATTTAGAACAACCTAGTAAAGGTTAGTGATGGATCATGTGGATTTTTTGAGTCGATACTGGCATTCAATATTTGGCCTGCTGTGACTGATATGTTTGTCTAAACATATTGCCCTATAACTCTCTTCTAGTTCCATTTTGACTCATAAGTCTGTATCACTATCCTTAGTAAAAGCATACAAAATGGGTTTGTAGCCAAATTAAATTGTTCCCTATTTCTTTCAATGTAGATTTTTATTTACTCCTATATTTTCCTTTTGTGTTTAGAACATTTAACCCGAGCTGAGACGACTCCGGCCAAAATCCCACGCATACACCGCCTGGTCGGCCTGTCTTCTCCCAGACAGGCCTCCTGTGCCTCCAACAGCGCTGCGCTCCCCTTCCCGTCTACCACCACCTCCCCCTTGCCCTCCCTCAAAACCTCCGCCCCCCACCCCAAAACGCCCACCTCCATCAAGCAGTGGCTCTCTCCTGGTCACGGATCTCCCAGTCTTTCAGCTTCTCAAGTCCTGAGTCATCAAAACAATGCCTCTACTCCCCCTACAGAGCAACGGGCAAAACGCAGGCTGGAGGCCAGTGGACCGTCTTGTTGTAGCGATGCGGAACAGTGTGGATGCATAGCAGAGTTGAATCCAGCTAAGAAAAGCCGAGTTGTAGCAGGGCTCTGCTGTGAAAAGAGCGCGACTGAGGGAGAGAACACGGGACCTTCTAAGGGTAAAGAGAACCTCAGGCCCAGTGCAGGGGGGAACTGGCTGTCTGCGATGGGCCACAAGATGAGGCATAGTCAGAGCAGCCCGCGCACGGCAGACGGGAGGACGCCAGGCCCTTCGGTGAGTTATCCAGAGCAATGAGATGTTAACAAACAATAATAAGATGGGCAAGGCATGTTTATTTGTGTGACACAATGTGTACACAAAGTAATAAACTCATTAGAGTGCTTTACAGAATAAGACATTAAAGTACAACATAAACAAGTCAAAACATAAATAATCATGATAAAATTGACATTAAAAGAGGAGAGTGTGGAATAAAATCTTTCCGTCATAAGCAGCTAAACAGAACTGTCACACTAAACCAGGACTAAACCAGGATATGGCAGCAGAGTTCTGGATGTCTAGTCACAGTGGTTGTTGCAGAACTAATCAATGCTTTTGATCATACTCATCATCTGGACTATACAGACTATACAGACAGTGTTTTAGCACATAGTGGCATTATTAAAATAAAAACATCAGATATGAAATGTATGTACAAAAGATATACTTATTTTGACTAGTCTAACTGAAAAATGAATCGCTGACCATAGACCGTATATATGAGTGGACAGAGCTAACGCACTATCTGGAGGCTCTTTTGGCTCCTTCTGACCCTGGTTCCAGTTGGTTCCTCAGATAATCATTAGTTGCAGCCTTGCTAATTTTTATATTTTTTATCAGGCCTAATTTAGGGCTAAATATGATCTAAGATTAGACTAAACCATGAATAAGGTAGTTCCAAGGACTTTTCAATGAGTGTCAACCCATATCTACAAACACTGACCCAACCCTGTGAGGAAAGCACTTCTATCACAAAACCACTCCGTGTGGAATGCAGGCAGACTGGATTTTCAATTGTAGTATCATAGATAAAATGTCTTGATTTAAATGCACTCTACCAGATTTTTACTATTTTAAATACGTGAAAAAACACTTTTAACAACTGCAACCAGTGTGAATTTTGACAACAACGGTAAAGCTGACAACAAATAGCCTGCTAACATGTACTTCCCGATACTCGGACAGTAAAATACTCTATACTTAGATGCAGACAGTACATAGACTTACTTTGACCCCAAGAGCTGCATATACAATAGATCTGTACTTGGGCAGGACATATTTTGCTCAAATACATGGGAAAAATCAATTACAGGCCCCTTTGAATTTTACATATCTATGTCAGAAAGAACAATAATTAATTTACAGTGTCAAACCTCCAACTTATCTTACCACTTTTCTTTTTTCAGACCACTTGCTCACCACAATCTATGAAGAAAATATCCACATATTTCACCAAGCCGACATCGGAGTGACCGCTTTCCCTGCCGTCAAATATGCATATTTTAGCGTTATTTTAAAACAATTTAATGTCATTTTTGGACACATTATTGACTGCACCAGTACAAGATTGGCCAATGTAATTCCTGCTGTGAAAGTATTTGAATGGCTCATCTTTTGCTGTCTGTTCAGTTTAGTTACATACATTTGACTGTACATAACCTGTATGTTTTTTTGTATATACTTTTTGTATTTAGAGTTATCAATGAAGCTGTTTGTATGGAAGAATGTTATTTTGGTTTATTGCTATGTGATAAACTGTTGAAGACAGATCTTATTTAACGGGATGTGGTTTTGTATTTTGTCTCAGTGATATCTGAAAGTTGACATCATTTTAATATGTCAATTCTAAATATTAAGCTAGGACTAGTGTTGTCAGTGAACCCACATTTCAAACCTGGTTGCGATATGAAGGAATAGACTTGATACTCTACTCTATACATATTCCGATACCACAATTTATTTTGACAGTAGAATGTAATTTTAACCTTAAATGGTATAACTTTCTTTTATATTATCATTTGGGTATGGCGGTGAGACTAACAGTAGCTTAATTCTCCATCTCCCAGTGGGTCTAACGTCTAACGTGTTTCTCCAGTTATTTTGCAATCAGAAGGAAGTTTAACAAGTATGCCAGAGGGAAGGAAAAGAAAGACAAGAGGAAATGCCCAAGTTTATATGAAAGAAGAGTCCTTGTCTCTGAGTGAAAGTGACAGTGACACAGGCAATAGCAGCAAGCCACTAACATGCGACATGCGATGGCATGGAAGCTGTTAGAGTGGCAAAAAGAGAAAATCAGTTTGTCAAGTGTACAAAAGTTTATTTGGTTGAAGACGTTTCTCAGCTCATCCAAGCTGCTTCTTCAGTTCTGGTCAGACGCTGGAGGACACTGCCTTATATCTGCCTGAAGGGAGGCGCTAACTACTCTGAAACTACTCTGAAACAAACTAATCTACTTGTTTACAGTTTCTGTTAGTTAGCTAGGCCTGTTGAACTTGCACTGAATGTGGGGTCATTAGCAGAATCATTCATGGCCCTAATGGAGCTTTCACACCTCTGGACCTGACCTGGCTACCGCTTTTGTTCTCTTTGTTGTGATTTCAGTTTGAGGATGGAGTTGTAAATGGAAGATAGATGGTGTCTGAATTCTCCATTCTCTCTGTTCAAAGATGGATTGTCTCTCCTAACAAAAATAGCGTTTTTCACTCCCCTCTAAAACCAATTATTTTCTTTGGCTAAGATCTGTACCTCACTGTCCTCAAAGGAGTAACCAGAGGCTTTTAGGTGGAGATATATGGCAGACTGAGGTCCACTATTGCTATCTCATCTGTGTTGGTACATCCTCTCGTGAGCGGCTGTTTAGTTTCTCCAGTGTGGTGCTCACTGCAGTCTTCACTAGAGTGAATGGAGTAGACCGCATTGTTTTGTTTGTGGCTTGGTGTTTTGTCCTTTGAGTGGACCAGTTTCCTCTACATACTGTTTTACAGTCAAGAAAAACAAACTACAATATATATTAAACAAAAATGGGAAAGGGAGGCAGGGATCAGTTTGAACTGATGGGGATTGGTTAAATATATGTAAAACCATTCTAAAAACCTCAAGTTCTGACTTATGGAGAGAGTTTATATGGAAGAACACAGTGAGATATTTAAGAATTTAAAAACATCAAACCAAGAGTGCAGAAGAGGGCAATGTCCCAAGATTGCCCCCTACAACAGAGATCATTAAAAACATTAAGCTTTTTACAGGACTCCAATTGGAGGAACATTTTGTGTATTTTATATAGGAAACATACCAACCGGGCTGAGGGGGAAAAAGACAGATACCTTCTTCAGTTACTTCAAGAAGAATGTGGCTACAGGACAAACCTCCTACTATTTCAGAATGGGCTGATATAATCAACGAAATTCAGGTTAACTGTTCTTATTTGGATATTTTGGTTTGCTCACACTATCGTGCTAAAAATCACGCCAACCCATCAAGACTTTTCTGCAGTAGCATTATTAGGAAGGTTCTGCATTGCAGGTCTCAAGCAATAAAAATACTTTTACTTTTCGGTCCTGTTCCCTCTCAGGTGGAGTAGAAAATACAGAATAGCTGCTATCAAATGTACTGAAGTAAAAGTAAAATGTATGCACTTCCAATGCCAATCATAATCTGGCTTTATAGAAAAAAAAAATGTACATACATTATGAAGTACATACATTAGTTACCTCCGCCAAGGAGGTTATGTTTTTGCCGGCGTTTGTCTGTTTGTTTGTTTGTCTGTTAGCAACATAACTCAAAAAGTTATGGACCAATTTGATGAAATTTTCAGGATTTGTTGGAAATGTGAAAAGGAAGATCTGATTTCATTTTGGGGTGATCCGGAAGAAATCCTGGATTCTGGATCACTTTGAAATTTTAGTTAACATTGTGGTAAATGGGGCCAAAAATTTTGTTTCTCAATATCTCCGTTAATTATTGACCAAACCCCATGAAATTTGACTCAGGGATGGACAATGGGATCCTCTTTCATATTCCAAAGGCTGATCCGGATCTGATCCAGAAGACTGATTTTATCGCAATTTATATTAAAAATGGGGGTAGTCCTTGGCGGAGGTCTGCGCTCTCTGAGTGCTTTTCTAGTTTTATACTTTTACGCAGCTCCACTCCTGCTTCAACGTCACCGAATGTTTTCGCAAGTCACATGGTGCCAGTCCGCTGTGCGTGTACTATGATTGGCTCAAAAAGTTTCCAATCCTGCCGAGCTCGTTCTCTGATTGGCTGTCTGCACTGTCCATCTGTGACGTCCGCCTGTCAGGCCCCTCTGTGGCTCCAGCGCAAAGTGATCCAGACGCACGGTTACCGAGCTGTGGGGACTGTTTATGGCCGTCTGTGCATCGCCTAACTCCGCTATTTTCAGTCACACCATCGCTTTTAAAAGTCAAGCAAGCGTGTCTACATCTACGTGCCTGGTTATGGTACCAGCGAGAGGGAAACGGCGTGTTAGACTAGGAATTTAACTTCATCGCAGCTACGGACATACGTGTAAAATAGTATTTACGTGGATGGAATAAAAGCCCCAATCTTGACGCTGGTATGTTCTGTCGATTCGTTTGTGACTATCGTGTTTGATCAGACGCAAGAGACGAGTAGATTTGAGCTTAAACAGCGTGTATCCGCGCGTCCCTGTTGTAGCCAGCACGCTAGGCCCACAGGCTCAAGAGGAGGAGGAGGCTACAGCTGCAAGAAACTTCACGGACATTTCACGCAACTTTCTCAGACAATGTCAAGGCTGTGTTTTGGAACAGGTGGATATTGTGCAAGACTCAAACCACTGTAAAAACAAGAAACGAACGCCAGCTATGGTTATTTATATCGCTAATGCAATGTTTGTGCAAGAATCTGCAAAGACACTAACCAGGTAGTGTCTCAAGTGTTGGTGGATACTGTATTTTGTAACTTGTTGATTGGATAGAAATAATATAGCAAAACGAGATTTACGCACACGCATTAGCACATTTTGGACATGAAACGAAGCCTGTTTGTTGCCATTAAGGATTGACAAGGTTATCTGAAGACTGCGACCGACTCCTCAGCAAGCCCCTCGGGGACACTGGTTTAAAATGTCGGCTGCCATCTCTGCGTCGGAGAAGGTGGACGGCTTTACGAGGAAGTCCGTGAGGAAGGCCCAGCAGCGGCAGAGGAGGTCGCAGGGCTCCTCTCAGTACAGGACGCACGGCACTGTCCCGGTAGAGCTGTCTCCGCTCCCTCAGCTCAAAGGTAAGAGGATCATAACCAGGGGCTAAAATTGGCTGCACGCTGACAGACCACATCACACCCAGTTACCAAGGAGGCCTTAAAGGGAAAGACACATTTTAGAAAGGAAAGAATTTCTATAACTTTTCATTGTCTCTACCCACAAATCTTGCTCTGCCTAAAGGCCATGTTAAGCAGTACAATTCTAAAACAATTTCTTGCAAAAATGCATGAAATATGTATGATTAGATAGACAAGCAAAATTGACTCTTGTGAGCTTTAGCTTAATAGAAGGTTGTTACGTTATCAAAAACATACCCTTTGTTTCATTCGCACATGAATAACCCTTTATTATTAGTCTATCCACATCTCCAAAGCTCAAAATGCTATGTTCTACCTTGTGATGTCATGAAGGGGTAGTTTTCAAGATGAAGGCTTTTAACTTTAATTCAGTAGAGATTTGCAATTCCAGGTTTTAAATTATTCTTTAGATTCTAGTGAAGGTGTGTGGAGTGCATGGCGAGAACCCACGCTTACTGTATTACCGCATGACATCACAAGGAGGAACACCGTGTTTTCTGTTTGGGAGAAGAAATCAGCCTAAATGTACAGGTTTGTGTGTTAAACGTGTGAGTGAAACAAAACAGAGCTCCAGGTCTGTTTGTGATGAGGACACAACATTAACATAGATCAGGAAATAGTGTGATATTTAAATGAAGGCCCCAGAGGTATGGTTGTGACCCTTGGAGTTCCTAATTATAGTTTTAATGTTGTATTTCCATGGAGTCATACAGGTGATGTGCCACCTCCAGGAAGTTATACTATAGCTTTAAACATATGGTGCATCATGGATATTTTTAAATGGAACATTCAAAACCATCTTTTCTCTGTGGCTCTTGATTGTTTTCCAGGAATTTTCCACAGAATATAATGTTGTAAAACATAACTATCTTCATTGAGGCAAGGGGCGACCCCACTGAACTAAAAGAATATTTTAACAGTAAGAAAAAATGCAAGATGGATAAATATGACAGATTTATGACAAACTGTGGAACATTCTTAATCTGGCTCAGCCAGACTGAAACGTGTAGCACTCTGAATTGAGTTCAACTTATTTATCAATCAGGAAACGCTCTCTCTAAAAGCAATCGGAAAACATGGATTGGTTGAGGCATCACAATACAACGGAACAAACCAAAAAAATCTAAATTTTGTTGCATACAGTTGAAAGATAGATAAGCACAGTGATCTTCCCTGTCCACAAATGCAGTGTGCTTACCTTCTACATGTTTTTCACAAACAAAATAGTCTGTATTGACACTAAAATAGGCTGAAGTATGACTGTCGGCGTCGCCATGTTTGTTTTGGTTCATTTGAGCACTTGGCCTTTGGCTTCCAAACAAACCTCAATGCTGCTCTGTGATTGGTCCACCAGTGGAATCTCGTGAGTTTGTAAATTCACAAATATCTTGAGAATTAATGTTCCTGTTTAAGGTTAGAATACTCTAGGATGCAATGACATTTTTGTGAGAGAAGATGGGAGACCCTCCACCAGAAAAGTTCCACAGTGCCCCTTTTAATTAAGAAGCTATTATTATTATTAAAACTAAAATGAATCCTTTTTGAACAGTAGAGCTCTATAAGTTTCACTCATCCTAATGTTAAACCAAAGGGGATCTGAAGATGCTAAGTACTAAACTTCATTCAAAAGTGTCTCTGACACTAGAATGATATAATAAACTGATAGACATGGCCAGTTGTGACCAAACCGCTCTGCATTGATTAAAGATGCGTGGCTTAGCACAGATAAAAATTCTCTAAATGACTAGAATCTCATGCCAAAACAACAATACAGAATTACTAGTAAACTGCATCTTCTGTAGAGCAGTTTAAACTGCCCATTCACTCCCAGAACTAACTCACCCCATCCATTCTGGGCCATTCTGCACAATTTGAGAAAAAGATACGATATTCGACATATTGTAGGGACAGTATTACTGCAATATTTTAATATACTTTTTAGCACAATAAGTTAAATGCACATTCTTTAATTTACTACAAATTGTATCAAAATAAAAATTTTACAGGAAAGGAAAATGATCAAATCTGCCTTTTTGTCCATTTTACAATACACCTGTAACATGGAGAGCATGTGTTGTCGCAATATATTTATTTATATTATTGCGTTAGCTACGGCTGGGTATCATTAACAAGTTGCTGATACGATCCATACATACGCCACGATACGATACACATCTCGATACAGTAAGCTTTCAATTCGATACTGTTCAGTAAAAAATATCATGGTTGTGAACTAAAAGTCTTTGCTAAACCACTTCTTGTGCAAAGTGAATATGAAAGATAAACATTTTAGTTCTCAAAACAGTGAAGAAGTCAAATGTGTCACATAGATGAGTTTCCTTCCCCTGAACAAACAATAAAACTGTAGTTCTGTAACAAAATAGATACGTATTTTATAACTTATCTTTGTATTTTATTTTGACTTTTTCATTTACATTCATATAATTATGCCTTACTTGACTCCAGTCTCTTGCTCTTTTTTGCTACTTATAAAAATTTATATTTTATTCTCATTGGCATTATATTATATTGTGATGTGTGAGCTGAGCTACTGGGTTCAAATAATTTCCATTATGGATTAATAAAGTTTGTCTAAGTCTAAAATAATTTTGTAAAATTTACCAAATAATACTCTTGGAGATATATATCTATATAGCAGCCCACAATATCGATACCGTATCATCACATTAAACAAAATGATATACCGATATTTTTGCATACCCCTAGTGGTAGCTATTACTGTGATATTGATATTATCTCAATATATTTTTCTGCTCTATATTGCACTAATAGTCCTGGATCCAGACGTTCCACTGCCTTTATTTTGCTCCTTTTTAAAATTATTTTGCTTATTTTTCATGTGTGCACACCAGTTGGGGATCTTTTGTTTCAACTCGGCCCCGTTCAGTTTTAGGACTCAAAAACCCTTTTGTGGGACCCACCTTGTGTCATTTGTCTGTTAATAGTGGTGCTATAGTCATATCTAGTGTCACATAGTTTGGAACAAAGAATACTGACAAGATGAGGAATACAGCAAAATAACTTTACAGGGGTTTATGTATTTCTGTTTACAATTATTAGACCATTTATAGCAATAAATAAAAAAAATGGCATTCTCAAAAACAAATCCTCTCCACAAATTAATTGATTGTGACAGACTGACATGGGATTGCAGTATGTAAATAGAAAACTTCCCCCAATTTATCATCTTCAAATTAAGCCCAAGATGAGCAGCCCACCTGCTATAATAGAAATAATGTTCCACATCCCAGACTGATGGATCGAATTCTTAGTCATTTGGCCATAGAATGCATATGAGGCCAATCCAAAATAATAATAATAATAATAATAATAATAATACCTCATGGGGGGGACGCAGTGCTTCACCAACACTGTTTACAGTGCGGGGGGAGAGCTGTTGACCTCCACTAAGGATGTTGTTCTGTGGTGGAAGGAATACATTGAATTGAGGATCTCCTCATTGCCATTGTCATGTCTTCCGAGGAGGAAGCAGAGGCCAAGGACTCAGAGGCAGACTTGTCCATCACCCTGGCTGAAGTTCATGAGGTGGTTGGCAAGCTCCTCAGTGGCAAGGCTCCGGGGGTGGATGAGATCCGTCCTGAGTATCTCTGTCTCTGGATGTTGTGGTGCTGTCTTGGCTGACACACCTCTGCAACATTGCGTGGTGGTTGGGGACAGTACCTCTGGGCTGGCAAACCGGTGTGGTGGTCCCTGTTTAAGAAGGGGGACTCTGTTCCAACTACAAGGGAATCACACTTCTCAGCCTTCCTGGTAAGGTCTATGCCAGGGACTGGAGAGGAGAATTTGGCCGATAGTCGAACCTCGGATCCAGGAGGAGCAGTGTGGTTTTTGTCCTGACCGTGGAACACTGGACCAGCTCTACACTCTCCATCAGGTGGTCGAGGGCTCATGGGAGTTTGCCCAACCAGTCCACATGTGCTTTGTGGATCTGGAGAAGGCATTCGACCGTGTCCCTCATGGTGACATGTGAGGGACGCTCTGGGACTCCGCCAGGACTGCCCCTGTCACCGGTTCTGTTCATTGTATTTATTAGAGCCCGACCGATATATCGGTTGGCCGATATTATCGGCCGAATTGAGCACCTGGAAGCATATCGGCTATCGGCCGATATACTTGCTGATAGGGGCCGATATTTCACGTGGGCATGTTATTCGTCGTTATAAAGCTTAGACTCTCTACATTATGTTCATTTAATCCAATTTACAGTCAGATAAATGTCCAAATATGTGGCTCCGCATCAGTATTTATCTGCGGAGTCATTTGTCTGTGTGAGAGTCACGTGCGTTTGTTTACATCTGCAGACACAGATCCACTGGGATTATTTTCTTTTTACGGACAATCGGTTTGAGTCTGGATTAAAAGGACATTTATTAGTGCAGATTTGTGATGTGAGGAGGAGCCTGTGTGAGCGGTGAGTGTTGGAAATATGTCGACTTTGAAGCAAGTTTTTGGTTAGCGGTTAGCTGCTGTAGCTGTAGCTCCCACACATAAATAGGCCGTTTTCTATTGGTCTATTGTAAAGTGACTATATTGGCCATATATTTGTTACTGGACCTGCATTGATATGTAAATGAGCTGTGTGTGAATGATGAAATTTGCGCATATAATTAATTACCGCGGCACGCAACATTTACGGCTAAAGGCTAATAGCGATTGTTTATTTACTCGCTAGCAGTGATGGGTCGTTCGCGAACGAAGCGGCTCTTAGATCCGGCTCTTTGAAGCGAACGACGGGAGCCTGATCCTTATTGGGAGCCGTGTTTTCTCTTTCTCTCACTTTTTTCTCTTCGTTTTTCTTTTTTTTCTCTTCATGCCGCGTGCAGACTCGTGGTAGTTTGACAGCGGCAGCGGCTAAAAACGAAACTTTCAAAACTCTGCGTGTGCATAGTGTAAAAAAAAAA